AAAAAAAGCTGACTTACTCGAAAGAACATAATTTATATATATATATAGCATGAATGGTTTATCTCATTGACTGCTACATGGAAAGAAAGAGAGCGATTAGTGGACTAAAATCGATCAGTTTGGACTTTGTGAGTGTTGCTGGTTGCAATACCAAGTCCGGATATGCATGACAACTTTTACTAATAATATGCTGATAAATAAACACATATTCTACAAGCCTTATCTGCTTCTTTATTCCCTAATGCTATGGAACTTTTTTCAGAAAAAAAGCAAATAACTCTATTGACATTCGTTACTAGAATGAAGTTTCCAAGTCAGTAATCAGTTGAATAGCATCAAGAGACATACATGGAGTTTTTGTCAAGTTGACTTCAGATTTTATTAGCTTCATCTCCTCATACTAATTATATAGTATGAGATTTTTTTTGTCACCCCTGGTTTCTTAAAACGGAACGAAGTTTCAGCTATTTCTATACTTTCGCCCTCAGCAGTTCTCTGTCGTAGAGGCAACTTATTTCTGATTGGCTCGAGCAGATCAACAGGCAAGCACACATGTTTGTTTTTTGCCTACGTAAAACCATCTCTTCCTCTTCTATACAAATAGGTAGCTGTACAAACAATCTATCAACGTAAATACATTGCCTAAATGCCTTATACTACGATCAAGTCACTGTTTTATTTTAGAAATTTTATATTTCTAAAACATAACTTGATTTTGACGGAAGACGAAATCGATGCAATAATATCTTTGATAGTTAATCCTGTAGTTGATGTTCAATGAGCTGATTATCTTTATTTAGTAGGATGTAATCTGGATTAATCAAAAACATCTTATTTGCTGTAGATTATTGATTGATTTTGTTGTTCTACCAATGATAATGTTTTCGGTTTCTTGGCTCATTTGGTAACCGAACTTGGTGATGATTTTTATCAAATTGAACACGCTTGAAAGTTGAACAATAATTGTATGCTCGACAAAAGCTATCTTTTATCGATATTGACAATTTAGTAGAAAGTGATTATTTACTTTATGTTATGTAATATAAGGTAAGAACTTTTAGTAGTCTCTTCTTTCTATTTCTTTATTTTTTTAGATCATGTAGACATGCAATATTTATTATCACATAGTTGATTCACTTATATATCAGTTGGTATTCATTGTATCTTAGTTTATGTATTGGTAAGGACAAACTATTTTTTTTTGTGTTTTATCAATACAATTTCTTTTTCTTGACTTACTTTAGACTAGCAATATTTATTCAAAAAATGATAATGGAAAATAACAATAACGAAGCATGGCGGTTAACATTTAACTATCAAAAATATCCGAGATCGTTTATAGCTCATAGATTCAGCCTAAATTTGTCTAATATCGACATTACCGGTGATATATTGTCTGTAATCGTTGATATTAGAATAATATGTATGTCGACGAAACAATATATAAAACTTTTAGAAAATCTGATATGAAATAATCGATTTATTCATAATCTTCTTTTTAATTAATAGATTTTTCTACACTTTATATATATATATATATTCAAACAGTATGTATCTTTAAGAAATAAAGAAATTATTTTCTTGTTTCGTTGTCTCATTCACTGATTTTATTCATGTTTCATTTAAAATGAAAAATTTAAAGAAAATTATATCAAAAATAGTCCGTGACAAATATGTAGAGTTTAAAACTTTTTTTCCTCAACTAAAATTTATAATAGAATACACATTTTTATTTTGTTGAATCTATTGGTCTAGGAAAAAACAAATTTAATAAGGTTACACAATAGCAAAAACTTGTGAGATTTTGAAAAACTCAGTATTATGAAAATAGAAATAGTAAAAAAACAAAATTTATTTTTTAGATAATGGACTCAGAACAAATAGAGGATAATAATATCGATAAACAATATTTTGAATCATACGAGAAATTTCAAGTTCATGAATTGATGTTACGTGATCGTCCACGTGTTACTGCATATTATGATGCTATTATGAACAGTAAACATCTATTCGAAAATAAGGTATTTTTATAATTCATATTTATGTCGTATCGATGTTACATCCGTCGACGAAGTTGCAACTTCGGCAAAAAGAAACTTGTCGACGTGACTGCAATTGTATCAAATACAAAATCCATATCAGTAAATTAATGATACTAAAAATAATATGAAGCTGATAGTCAATGATTTATATTAAAAATAACTTTAAAATTACAGTTAATTAATGATATTAAAAAAAAATAATATATGAAATTACAGTTAATTTTTCATTTTAAAAACATTTATATAATTTTTTTACGAATAAACATAAAAGAAATTATTGAGAAAAATTTAACATTACTCTTTGTTCGTAGTGTACATGATTATGAATCAACTCTGACGATACACTAAGGTCTGTAATTAAGGAATGAACTTTCTATAATACTATGCTCTGATTTAAAAAGCACGTAGCTATAGCATTAGAAAAACTCTCATATAATACTTTATTTCGGAATTTTTTTTGCATTTTTTACTGTGTAATTCAGTTTTCATTTTGGCATTAAATGCATGGCTAAAAATGAAAATAAACGAAGCATTCAACTACAAGTAAAAACGGTAGTAAGGTTATGATGCAAAAAAAAGCTAGTTTCCGACGCAGAATACGTATTCTGAATTACGGTTTTTTTTCTAATCCAGTCAAAACATGTTATAAACTGCAAACGATAGATCTGGATGTTTCAATATAAATAACAAACCTCAACAAATAAATTCTTATAATATCTCGTCGATCGCATTCCAAGGTCATAAATTGCTCTTTCTGCTGTACCTACTATTTGTCTAATAATGTTTGTTTGACATGTTCTTCTTCAAGATTACCTTCACTGCACTGAAAACAAAAATCGTACTTTGGAAGGTTTCGAAAGCTAAAACGAAATCAAAATCTTTGTAAGGTATTATTAACACCTACGAAACCTTCTTAAGGTTTTATAGAATTCTACGATACCTGAACAAGGTTTCATAGTTCACAAGAAACCTTAAAAGATGTTTTGATTTGGTTTTCCTTCTCGGAACTTTTTTTTTACAGTTCTGTACCGTATCTTTTTTTTTATTTTCGAGTGGTAGGACTTGTATTGAACTGATACATAAATAATATTGAAACGTAATACTCAAAAATACAATCAAATTTTCGTTTGACTCTGATAAACATTTTATTTATCCTTATATGTACTAATTGTCTTATCATTGTAAAGTTTAAGTATTGTTCAAATTACAACATAGCATTCTAGAGATCTCTCACATGAATTACAAGACCTTAGAATCGTCAAAATAGATCTATAGTTATATAAAATATGAAAAAATTAACCTTAATTTTATGAATTGTTTTTTTTTTTTTAATATCATTATTAAATAAATGATATTTATTTGATATTTAATTGAATTGAAGTAACTTCGATACGACATATAAATACATATAATAGAAGAATTATATTTGTGAATAAAAAATAAATATAGGTCGTTCTTGATGTTGGTTCTGGAACAGGAATTTTAAGTATGTTTGCTGCCAAAGCCGGTGCTAAATGTGTTTATGCTGTTGATGCGTGTCCAGCTATATGTCATTTAGCTATAGAATTAATTAAATGTAATCATTTACAAGACAAAATTCAAGTAATTAATAAACATATTGAAGATATTGACAAATTCGACGAAAATATCGATATTATTATTAGTGAATGGATGGGTAAGATTTAAAAAAAGTCAACATTTTATATTTAAAATTTATTCTCAAGGATATGTATATTAAAAAAAAGTGAATTTCAGGCATGACATATTTCTGGAAAAAAAACAGACATATGAAGTTAGTCTATTTAGGTTTTTATCTGTTTCATGAAAGTATGCTTGAATCAGTTATTTATGCTCGTGATCATTTTCTCAATTTATCATCTCGTAATAATGATATTACACCTGAACAAAATGAATCAATTGTAATTTTTCCTTCACATGCTTATTTGGTTTGTTAATTCATATTTATTTTTCAATATATATTGAAACATAATATGTTGTTATTTTTGCTTTTGTTCTAGTATTGTGCTCCATTTATTGATCAACATATACGTATTGAATTAAATACAATGTGGAAAGATTATTTTGATCTTAATATGTCATCAATTCTTCCTCACATAAAAAATTCTAATCTCAAAGAATGTGTTTTTGAAACAATTGAACCATCACAACTTGTTCATGATGCTCAATTAATACAATCAATTGATCTTCGTACAATACGTATTGATGATCTTCATACAATGCGTTCATTTTGTGAATTTGATATTGATAATACATGTATTATATCAGGTTTTTGTTTTTGGTTTGATTGTTATTTTTCTTCAAATAATAATTCATCTATATTACGTTCAACACGTTTAACAACAAGTCCATATTCATCAAAAACTCATTGGAAACAAACACTCGTATTTTTACCCGAAGATATTTATCCATTAAAAGGTGATACAGTACCGGTGAATATTAAATTGAAAAGATCTTTAAAAAATCGACGACAATATCAATTATCAATAGGTATTAAAAAAATTAAAGAAGGATTTATAAATAGTAATATTATGGATGATGAAATCTCAAATAATGATTTAAATATACGAAAAAGACAAAGACGACGTTCATCAACTATTTCATCAGATAAACGAATTATTAATGAGAAGAAATCAATGCAGGAATCAAGTGATAGTACATGTAGTAATAGTGATGATGATATTGATTTAAATGAGCATCCTATTCCATGTTCATGTGTTCGTGATAGATGCAAATTAATTAAAACAATTTTTGAAAAATATAGTGAAGAAAATACTGTTCAATGATACGGTCGTCTGTTTTTTTTTATATTTTTTTATGAAACTAATTAAACTCAAGTGTGTAGTGTCTTTAACAAAATCTCGGGTCTGTGTGTGTGTGTGTGTTTTGTAATTTAGAAAAACGATGCTATCATAAGAGCACCGTTATTTTTTTTAGATAATGAACAAAAACTTACAACGAAGTTATCAGAACAAACATTCAAAGTCATCACGAAAATCTCATACAAGTGAACGTCGATCAAATAAAACCGGTGAACTATCATCTCAACTTCCACAACAATCTGACATTCAGTCTGAACACACATCGAACAATTTCGATCATGATCTTTTAAGCGAAATTATTGAAGATTTAACATCAGATATTGATGATACACGAACACCATCAACCCCATCTATTCTTTCGACAAAATCAAACACGAAAAATGATGAAACGTCTTCACCACCAATACAAAATAGATTTTTATCAGTTAATCCTTTACGAAACCCAACGTGTTTAATAAAAAAAAAACCTTCACGATCAACAAGAAAAGGAGGAAAATCTGATCAATATGAAGAAAAAACTTTGGATTTATCAAACTATTCAAATAGTTTTGATGAAAAATATGATATATTAAATTCTAGAAAATCTATTGGTGAACAACGACGTGATCAATTAACGAAATATATGAAAGAATTTTATCAAGCTTGTTTTTTACTCGATCAAAATTCTACTATAAATTATGTTCATGATACTTTAACGAATAATAATAAACGAAAACAATATTCTACAGCATTATGGTAAACCAAACAAAAAAAAAACAGCAACAATCAAAATAAGCATTCTCTCTCTATTTTGGTTTTTTTTCAGGTATGAATTAAAAACATTTTTTAATGGAACAAACTCTTTAAATGAAGCTGGTATTAAAAATGAACAATATTTAATTGATCGTCAACGAAAAAAAAGTCTCGAAGAATTTTATCATTTTTTTAGTCAATGTGATTTTGAACAAGCACATTATCATGATACTTTAACAATTCAACGTCGTCATTTATGTGAATATCATTTAAATCATTGTTATGATGTTGAAAAACGTATGAAAAATTTATTTTCAAAATGGGATTATATATTATCATTATTTCCATCATATTCAGCACTTGAACACTATGATAAACGTTTTAATCCACGTACAAAAGAAGGAAGAATTTTTTATGAAAAATTATATATTTTTCAAGCATGGTTTAATTTACATTCAGAAATTAATCATTTAATTAATGTACTTGGTCGTATTATGACATGTATGAAATGTCATATGTGGCCACATGAAACAAATTTATCAATAGTAAAACATAATGATAATTTATCTCGTCCAACAACACCATCATCAACATCAAGTCATGAACAACGAGATCCAATTGTAGGATCTCCACCTAATATATCACCATTTTTAGCAACACCTGAAATAAGAATCAAACGACAAAGTACATTTACATCAATGTCAAGTTTTGATAGTATTTATCAACCACCATTAACATCATCGTCATCATTAATGGACTATTATTATAGGTGAAAAAACTTAGTCAGACAAATAAAAAGATTTTCAATAAGTAGAACACATGCTATCAAACGACATTGAATATGGTTTCTTATTAAATATAATAAGTTGAATAAGATTAAAACTTTCTTTTGGGATATTGAGTATTGTTTGAAATATCTATTGTTTTTTAGTTTTACTTCTACTGAAGAAAAAAAGAAATAATAGAAGAATAATATAATAGAAATCAATGTAAAACATAACAGAACGGCGTTTATTGAAAATTAAATAATACTTCATTGGTTTGTGAGTAATTATGTTTTGTCATGACAGATTCATTATGAAAACAACAAAAAAAAAGACACGTTAATTGACGAATGTCATTGTAAGTGTAGAATGAGCGAAGGCGTTTCAGAGCGTCGTAGACATTTCTATGGTTTCTGTGTCAACACTATGAGATTCTTGTTAAAGAATTCAGTATACATTATTTATTGTTTATCTTAAGTGACCGAGATATAATGAGTACACTAACCAGAGACTGTCATAGGGCTGGGCAGGGCATCCTCGAGGCCTTTTTAACTCAGTTCGATTATCGAATGGGTTCGTAACCTAATGCAAAATTTTTATCGTATTTATATTTAGTGCCCATAGTTTTTTTTTTCATTTCAAAAGAATATCATCCATGTATAAAAATAAAATTATAATCAAATAAACATAGTGTCATTTTAATTTATTTTTAGAAAAATAAGACATTCGTTAATAAAAAAAAAAGAGTGATTCCATGTAAGTGATAATTATCATTTAATCAAGTCGAAATCTTTCATGGTCATTTAGTAGCAAGAGGAGATTCATTTTTTTTATTATTTTCTAGACGCTCTTATAATTTGATAAGAGATGTTCAATCTCTTCGAAATTGTCAGAGTTCATATTGAACGATGATAAATTAGAATAAATATCATATACATAAGTTCTGATGAAGTTATCTTTAATTGGTAGAATTACCTAGATGATACACATTGTGAAAAATTCATATTTAAATTTAGTAAAATGATTGCAAATGAATTTTTCTTAAAAAACATTGATTGAGCGCACTATTTCGCTCTTCACCCTGTCCTGATGATAGCCTCTGATTCTTACATTAGCTAATCTTTAAAATCTATTAATGATGAACAATTGATTATTATTCTGTAACAAATAAATTCATGGATTTCAAATAGATTTTAATATCTGTAATAACAAGAAGCAGTCAGTTTTGAAATTTCATACAGTCATTTAGAAGTCTTTATTCTAATTAGGAAAAGAGAAAGTTTGTTTAACTGAAATCTATATTTAGATATGTTGATGATCAAGTAACACATGCTCGCATTGAATTAGTTGCAAGTATATTTCGTACCAAACATGGTCCTTTATTACAACGTTTACGTTATACATATCGAAAAGAACATCGAACAAGTTCTTCAACATTTGATGATATATTTAAAAATTCTCCATTTTTTCCTAAAAAACTTATTCCAAATGATTATTTATTAGATGCTAAACCTCATAAATTAATCGATGAATTTTTAATGCTTAATAGACAATTACAAGAACAAAAGAATCCTAAGCATGGTAAAATTATTTTCCTTCGTATTTTAATATACAGTACTGATAAAAAGTATAAGATTAACATATTTTCTTTTCTACAGTACCAAACATTAAGTTCAAATTCCAATAATGATTTTAATAACCAATGAAGTTTTCTATCAAATCCATTTCATATGAAAACATCATAGATGAACTACGAGAGAAAGGTTTCTGAGAAGTCATACACAATAGCTTTCAGGTGCGAAAAAAAGTGTAAAAATAGAATTTTTAGAGCATCATCTTACAGAGTACAAACCTCGAAATAGAATGAGACGTTTTTACAATTTCTACGTCATTTCCATAACATGTTATAAACACTAGAGACAATGTAAAACAGTGAAATTTATCGGAGCAGTGCTAAAAATTGACTAAATACGTATTTTTTTGTGATGCTTATAATATTTTAAGGAAGGTTTGTAGAAAATGCGACAACCTTGTATTTTATGCAAGACTTTGTACTCTTTAAAACAATTCTTTTGAAAACTGATTTTTATACACTTTTCTAGAATTTGAAAACTATAGTGTTTGGTTTCTGAGAAATCTTACTCTCATAGTTCATCTATGAAATTTCAGTGCGAAATACATATGATAGAGAACTTTACTAGCTATTAAAATCATTATTCGATTTTGAGTTAAATGTTTGATATCGTAGAGAAAAAAAATTAAAACTCTGTTGGTCTAATATTTTTGACTGGTATTGTATACACATATCTAATTTTACTTTTTTTTATTAAAATAGCAAATAAACAAACAAATAAATCTACAGGCATTTATTCTGATACAGTTAATAATATTCTTAATCGTTTCGATCAAAATCCAACATTAACATCGAGTACATTTCCACCAGTACCAGCACCAACATTAGTTTTAAAACTTTCATCTAATGATCGAAGTCTACTTAAACGTCAACCATATTATCTTGATTATCTTGATCCAATATCATATCCACATTTACCTGGTTCAACATTATTTCCTGATCCATGTTTATTTCTTGACTATTCACCATTAAATTCCTATTCACAAATACCAACAGATGAAAATATTTTAATTGCTAAAATCTTAACAATATGTCATCGTCTTTATGATAAACATGTTTGGGTCGCTAGTGGAAGATTTTCAGATATGTGTGATATATTTCATTTACCATCACTTTATCCACATTATGTTTTTCTTGTACAAATTCCATTAGATTTAATGATATCATGGCAACAGTATCATCAAGATAAAAAAATGGAACAAACATCTACTACAAGTAATTAAAAACTATATATTATCAAGAATTTTCGATATGCTCATAGATTAATAACAGTAGATCTATAAATCATTCGAATCCATGTGATTTGAAACGGATAAAAATCATCGGTAATTTGATACTTAAACGGTTGACTACCTTCTGATTGCCATTCTACCATGATATATCAATAGTTGTTCTCTGCACGACAATCTACCGCCGGTCCTTATGAGTACTATGATAATGCGAACAAATGTACGACATAACAGGCGATGATCACATATTCAAAAGAGTTCTTTTTGAAAATTAGGTCGTCATCTAAACATTCTAAAAATAATACTTATTATTTTCTGTCCTATGTAAACATTTAAAATTGTTAAGATCTTAATTGTTTCCTGGTTTGTAGTAACATGAAAAAGAATTCACATATAAGTTTGATTTGTAAAAATGAACGGACACATAAAACAGAAAGTTAAAAAAAAGATCTCGTCGAAAAAAAAACCTAGCCTTCTAAAATTTTCATCGATTGATTAAGTTGACGAATATTATCTCAACAGTATCGTAGAAATTATGATATTTATAATCCATATTAGAGATAAAATCGGTAGAGATTTCAGACCGCCTCCATCTCTGGTTTTTATGACAAAGATTAAGTTTAGTAAATATAAAATATACTGAAATATTTCAAGAAAAATTTTATAAACAATCATTTTATCTTTTATGAATATTTCTTTTTTAGTATAATATAAATATGCTGTTATATATTTGTTGAGTTACAAAAATCAACGAATTTAATTCTATCCATATGATCAGGGATATTCTTCAATGATTCTTAAAAAACTGGAAAAAACAAAGTAGGAAAGCTACTATGATCAGGTTTCTCTTGTTAATTGCAGAAAAAAAAAATTTCTTTAAGCTAAATATCCGTATGCGGATTTATGTTCAAAGACAACAAATGATTTGCTTTATTATAATATTAAAAAAGTGTAAAACTTTATGTAATGAAGATTATTTTTTTATCTTGTAGGTGCTCTTCTTTTATTAATTGATGAATGTAAAATCTTAATACATAGTGCAACACTAATACGTCAATATGTTAAATTAATGATAACGGATACTTTTGGTATAGATTTGAATATTTTTGATTTTTCTTAACTAATAATCTTTTTGTTGTTGTTTTTTTTTTTTGAATATTAGAAAAAGCAGAATTAAAATTAATTGAAGATGATTTAATTCAATTCGATAAAGATATAATTGATACAATCTATGAAATTCTTTCTTATATTGAACGTTATATAGATATATCATTAAATTCAAATTCATTTCATAATTGTATTATATTATTAAAAGATCAATGGAAATCATTAAAAAAATATTCAACTATGATGAATATTGAAGAAGTTCTTGGTGAAAAATTTTTAAATATTTATTCAAAAATAATCAAAAATTTTCATGAACATATCGATATATTTCATTCATCAATACCATCATCACCAGAAACAATTAGAATAGAACATATAAAAAAGAAAATTCATAGAAAATATCAAAAAAAATTAACAATGACTATATTACGTGAAGCTAAAGCAATTTATGATGATTGTGCATTAACAATTAATATTTATTTACAAAAACCTGTTTGTAAAAGATTTTTACTTATACTTAAAGCAGCTGGATTTGAAAGAATTAAATTTGGTAAGAATATTTATCTTAAGTTTTTCTTTTTTTTTCTTGTGCTTTTTTGAAAAAATTTATTAGATAAATATCAATATCGAAGTATTACAATTATTTTTTTATTATTTTGTTGTTAATTGTATAATTCAAATCATATTTGTCGTATATTAATACTTTTGCAAGTAATGGAAAATCGTTCTTCTGTTTTGTATGTTTTTCTTGGTTGAATCTAACAATATAACACTGTATTTTAATGCATTAATCTAAATGATATATTTCTTTATTGATATTTAAAAGAAAATTCTATTCTTTTTAATTTTAATATCATGAAAGAGAAAAAAAACGATTCCTAGTATGAAAATGTTTTTTTTCTTTATATAGAAATTAGATAACAATATATGTCATATCATTGTTGTTAAATATACTTGACTTCTAGATTAAATGAGTTGACTTTTCTATCATATAGAATAAAACTTTCCTAATGTAGACACTATTGACAACAGTGAAAAAATGTTTATTTTACGAAGATGCTCGTTAGTAAAAGATTTTTAGTTTCTTGTTTGAAATCTATAAGTATTTAATTGCAAAATCTTTTCGACGGAACAAAACGATCTGTTTATTCTTTTCAATAATTAATTAATTCAACTTTTTAAATTAGAGTTAAGTCAAAACACAGTTTGACATGATTTGATGTCACTAGTTATATTAACACAAGAAAAATTACATATTACACCAAGCACTATTGCTGTTGTTTATTATTGTTTCTTATATGTCTAATGATTGTTTATCATAATACAATACACATAACATTGTCTTTTTCTCATTCTGAATTAGAATAAGTAGGTGCTCATATTTGAGAGGTTAAAATTTGCTTGGAAGAACTATCAACTACGCAGTATTATGAGATGTTCACATGAGAGAGGTTTTACTGAAGATTGTAACAGACATTTCTGCCTAGTATGATTAGTGTTGAAAAGATGATTACGCGATTGAATCTATTTTGTTTGTATCTTATTTTTCCACACTATAATATATATATATATATATTGTTTACAATAAAGAAAAACAGCTTTAATATCTTGCACATTATAATCAAACAAATTTTTCACGTAAACAATCTTCTTAATTAGATAGTTAGAAAATATCTTTCGTCTTCTTTTTATCTTTTAGCTTCCGAAAATCACCATCATCATGGAAGTAATCAAACTGACAAAGATGGTTCCCCTTTTTCTAAATGCCTTCTTTTTGCTCCAGCAAAATATTTCAAAGATAAAGCAACTAAAATTCAAATTATACGAACATTATCTTCTTCATTTCGAATTAATGCCAATCATAATTTAGCTGCGGAATTAAATGATGATCAATCAACACCACAACAACAATCTGCTACATCATCTCAACAATTATCAACTTTAACATCTGAAATTTCTCCACCATTAGTGTATATTCTTTGTGTACCAACGACAGTTGACCTTGAATCTGAATGGCGTGGTGTAACACATTTAGTACCTGAAAATAAAAATTTAATATCTATATTACCATTACATACTAATTGGAAAACGACAACAATATTTTTACTTACACAACAAACAAATAATCTTGAAAATTTTCAAGAATCATTTAAAGAATGTTTATCAAAGATAAATGTTCAACAGAGTGATTTATATAATTTTGATACACGAACAGGACAATTATTACAAAGACGTTCATGTTTTGAAAAAATTGATAATGCTATGAAAAATTTAGCTCATTCAATGTTAAATTTAAGTAATTGTGTTGCAAATAATGTGGAAACTTTTGAAAAATTGATTGAAAATATTGATAAAAGAGATTATGTTGTAAGTACAAAATTACACAAAAACATATATATATATATATATCACTTTATTTAGAAAACTTTAACCTTTTTGAAAATCAACACAAACATTTTGAAATAATGAAACGATTGAAAATTAGTTTTTTTTTTCTTTTAAATATATATAGATTCTTCTTACAAAGTTTATGAAGTAAAAACCTATTCAATTTCCATCAATTCACTTCTATATTTTTAAACAAAAGATTTTTGTAATTGAATTGCATAAGAAAGTTTAAAAAAATACCGGAGGTGTCTGTGTTACTCATGCGTTCTAAGTACGATTTAACTATTGCTTCCATTAATCTTGTTGAAGGTAGACTTTTATAAATAGTAGCAAAATTTAATTCATTCCTTCATTCTTCAGTTTTACGAAGTTTCTATTAATAAATCCTTAGTATTTATCAACTTTTTTATTTATTCAGAAAGAAAAAATTCATTAAGCACAATAAAATGTCCCATTTTATTAATTGCATTTACCAAATTCGAAAAAGAAGAGCTTAATTATCTGTGATGGACTCTATATTATCTTTGTTTACGTCATTTGAAAGAAAGTCTCTTGAAAGTGACAGAGTGCTTCGAAAGTCTATTGAGAAAAAGAACGTGAATGCCTCTTGAACAATTCAAGTCATATATGTGAACTTTCTATTATTTAATTCGACTTTCTTTTAAGTTTTCTCTTGTAGAATTTCATTTACGTTTGTTGTTCAAAATGCTCACAATGAAATGCAACTCATAAGTTCACTATTTCCAAAGTTTTAAAAAATAGAGCATTAGTAGAATTTTACATTGAAACCATTGCATTTTTTTCATTGATTTTTCTTGTTAATATAACCTGATCTTTAATAATCATTTTGCAGACATTGTCTTTCATGTGTCACAATACGAAGAATTCTCGAAATACTAAGTTCAACAAGTGTGAAACCAACTAGAAGATTCTTTGCTTAGAATTTACATATTAGAGAAACTGTCGTCTAGAAATTTATGTATGTCATGGAAGAAATGTGAAGACATCTCATTTTGTTGAATCATCTACTAATTTCTGTCATAATTGTGAATGTTATCGGAAATCAAAATATTTCAAATAACCAAAACGTTTCCTCTCGATACAATTTTACTATTAACATGAACTACATAAAATTGTTCTTCTATCATTACTATAACATTTGATATGAACTATATTAAATAAAATTTCAAGGAATATGAAAAGAAATTATAGAAAATACATACAAATCGCTTAAATTACTCAAGAGCTATTTATGTTTTTTTTTTATCTCGACGATCTTTTAGAACACTCTGTAGATATCATATTATTATGAGATTATCTTCTTCTGTTTCCGAAATAAGATAAGATTTTTTTCTGTTAATATTCCATCAACCTGTTTTTTTTTCTCAATCAAACAAACAAAAGAACTATTCTTCATAGGCATGACTTTTTCTTTTAGCCTAAAGTATTGTTTTCTGTTTTTTACTGGAAGTATTTTCAAAAACATATTCATCAACATTCTTAGATTATTATCTAATAAAATAGGCTACATGAATGATAAAGAATTTGATGTTTTATCAACAGATATTTATAAATTCTTTTTTTTTTTTTGTAATATGATTATTAATCTTCTTTTTCTTTTGATGAAAAAGATTTTCTTAAGATATTTTTTTTCTATATTTAGCATACTGAAGAACGTGCTTTTGCGTTTGGAATGGATGTTATTCGTGAAACGAGTTTTTATGCAACACAATGTGAATATAATACATTAAAAACTCAAGCTGAAAAGCAATTAAGATTTGCAAATATTTGGTTAAATTTTGTTCGCAAAAAAAATTCTACACAAACATCAAAATATCCAATAGCAATACCAATGTGGTTATTACCTGGAATACATTTTCTTCGTCATGCATGTTCATTACATTTTACAAATCATATTGATAATGATTTATTTTCTGAATTTTATTATAATATGACAAAAACTATTGATTATTTAAATAATTCCAATAATAATAATAACAATCTTAATGAAAATAATAGACTATCCAAAACATTGCAATGTTCATCAGCAACTAAACATGGTTATGATAATAGAAAGAAAAAAAAATTTCAATTAAATAGAATTGAACAAATTGATCGTCTAGAAAAACGTATTGATAGACGACGTATTGAAGAAGGTCTTATTGGAAAAATCAAAAGTGTTTATAAATCATCAACTTTATCAAAAAAAATGGATGAAGATTTAGCATATTTAAAAATAAGAAATTTTCATAAATTAAATCTTCTTTCACGTGGACAATATGCAACAAGTAAGATTTATTTCTTTTTTTGAACCATATAAAAATTATTTCGAATTCGCGCCTTGCCAGATTCGAACTGTACGATTATTCAAATGTTATTAGCTTTGATTTTATTAAAACAAACGTTTTAATTTATTCTTTATGGTTATTTGATTTTTGAATAAATTTTGGCGACTTTCTCCTCCGGAGGGAGACACTCTAGCCACTGAGCTAAAAGCGCGTGTATTTATGAACAAACCATATTTTCATGTAGATTCATTTCTGAATAAATTAGATTCTAAGAATTTTGCTCGATAATAAATCTCATAGATTACATTATTTATCAGTAGATTTTATGATAAAGAAAATACAATGAACAGTTTTATCCATTCACATTCTTAGACTTATTTGTGAGGCTTAAAAAATTTTAGATAGATTATGAATCTTAGCTTTGAACTCGGGGATATATATGCTACTAAGTATATCAATAAGTTATTGTTCTTTTGAAATTGTATGATTCATTCATCGTGATATTGTGTTGTGTTAGTAGAATGAGTCACTAGTTTTGACTTGATTTCAAAAAGAACATTAACATTTATAGCATCAATGAGTACTGACTGCATTATACATTTCTACTACCTATGCTGATCTTTTGCTATGTTCTGACTTTTATTGCATATAAACCACATACCATACATGAATAAGTTTTATGACCTATGAATGCAGATGTTCTAGTGTATGTGATACATCGCTTCGAATTCGATATACATTAATTCACCGAGATTACTAACGAGGAAGATCCCCAAGTGTGAACCACCATTTCGAATGAAAGATATCCCAGTTTGTAGAACTCGACGAGCTGATTCTCGTGGTATGGTTCGTTTTTCCCGATAGAACTTCAAATGAGAAAAAATGATCGATATTGCTAGTGAATTTCTACATGTTGAATAAGTTTCGAGGCAGTTGTTAGAAATTTAGAACTTCAAAGGTACTTAATTTTTATATGGTCATGTTATAGAATAGAGAATGCCACATGCGATGATCTATTTTTAAATTATTTTCAAAGAATCTGAGAATAATATTTTCTTTTAAAACTTATTTTCACCATTGCTATGAATTTTAATTGTTGAATTGTTACACTTGAAGGTATTTGAGCGCTCCCGAGAGAAAATGTTGTCATGTATTCAGCAGATGACGCTGAACTTACACTTAAAATAATATAAAAATAGATCATCGCATGCAGCATTCTCTATTCTATAACATGACCATATAAAAATTAAGTACCTTTGAAGTTCTCAATTTCTAATAACTGCCTCGAAACTTATTCAACATGTAGAAATTCACTAGCAATATCGATCAGTTTTTCTCATTTGAAGTTCTATCGGGAAAAACGAATCATACCACGAGAATCAGCTCGTCGAGTTCTACAAACTGGAATATCTTCCATTCGAAACGGTCGTTCACACTTGGGGACCTTTCCTCGTAAGAGCAAAAGAGTTGTTGAAGGATTATTTCTGGTACTTTGTCTTTCTCGACACAAAGTTATTTTAATGAGCATTAGATCTCTTGAAAAGCGAATATAGAAAAATAAAAATAGGTTTAATATTCTTATTTGAAAATGAAAATATTTTTTTTTGAAATTTCTAATCATCATGTAATTTATCTATAGAGGAAGATTCAAATTAGAATTATTTGCTTTAATTTTTCATATATACGCCATATTACACATCAAATATTCAATACAATAGTAATAATTTCAGAAAAGCAGAGAATGAGAACAAATGCTTTAGCCTTGTTTTTAATCATATGCACTCTAAAAACTTGTACATTTGTAGTTTAATATGACGTTTAATATTTAATAAAATTGTCACATGACTCATTTTCTAAACTAAATCATTTCATTTTAAAAAATATGTTTCCTTTTCTCTATTTTATGTTTAGCTTACAAATGTAGAGTAGACAGAGGTGATAAACAAGAGATTCTCTGTTATAAACAATATAAAATTCAACATAATAATGCACAAGCAATTGCTAAAGTTCTTGAACAACTTATGCCACTTATACATATTGATCATGCAAATTTACTTAAATATCATGGCATTGCACTTGAACATGATCATATATTATTTTTTATGGAATATTGTAGTCATGGTACAATAGCTCAACTTTTACTTGGTACACTATCATCATCATCATCACATATTGATCAACATCGTCTATCAGCATCACATATAGATACACGTCGTACATCAGTAGTCCATGCAGATTCACGTCGTACATCAATATCAGTGATCAGTCCAACAGTAGATACATCATTTATTGATAAAGATATTGTTCAAACTTCAACTGGTTCGGTTTTTTTAAAAGAAACTCTTGTTCAACGTTATTTACGTCAATTATTATCTGCTTTATCACGTTTACATGAAAAGGAACTCATTCATCGTGATATACGTAATGTTAATATATTTTTTACAGATTCAACAAAACAATCAATTAAATTAGGTGATATTAATTTTGTTTATGATTTTAAATTTATGAAAAAACAACCATCATCACTTGATATGGAAGCTATTATTTATAAACGTGAATCAATTGTTTTTTATGCACCTGAAATAATAACACAAAATGAAACAACAATGAAATCTGATATATGGTCATTAGGATGTTCAATAATACATATGTTAACAGGTCGTATACCATGGAGTCATCCAACAACAGCATCAAGTGCTTATTATTTTAAAGTTCTTAATTGGATTGCTGATGGTAAACGTCCACCAATTCCCACTGATTTAAGTTTATCAAATGAATGTATTGATTTTCTTGAGCAATGTTTTCAACATGATCCTATTCGACGACCATCATCACAAGAATTACTTGAACATCCGTTTGTAAAAGAATAATAAGATGACGTCATTCGTTTTTGTTTTTTAATTTATTATTTATTTTTGATGCTGTAAATATTTCTCTTTTTTTTTTTTTTTTTACTTTTCGGTTTTTTTTTAATTACTTACAGAGTAATAATATTTTTTATTCCTTTTTTTTTTCTTCCTTTCGTAATGTAAATAGATCGTTGTTTTTCTTTGACGAACATATAGCCAACAAGAACACGTCATTTTTGTTGCTAACCCTTTTGTCGTATATTACATTCAATCTTTTAGATAATGAATAATTTTTATGCAAATGTCGAAGCGGAAATAATGGATTTCATTCACCAATGTCGTAGTAAGTAAAGAATATATTGTGTATCGAAATGAAAAGAAGAATATATATAGCTGCTATTCTGCTTTGACTAGAGAAATTTTTCTAAGTCAATAGTTCTAAGATCAATTCACCCTCTAAGAATAAGCACTGTTTTCTACTAAGATTATTGATTTTAAAAAAATTAGAAAAATTAAATGTCATTACTAAATCAGTGTGAAGAACTGGAGATTGGAGACCGTATTAAAAACAAAACACATAAATATTCTGTCTTGCACACAAATAGAGTTTGTCAGGTCTGAGATTTTTCAGAATCGAATTCGTTTATAATAGAAAAAATTCAAACTCGGTCCTGATAGACTCTATACAGAAGCCCTGTATCTGTCACTAGTAAAGTATTTTATTTGAGATTAGTAGCTTTTTGTTGTTTAACATTCATCTCAGCATAGACAATGATGAACGATAGAATTATTCACATATTGTTGACAATCTTTGTGTCGAACGAAAAAAGTTGGCAAACAATTCATCTAAATAGATTCAATTTATTTCTATCCTAAGTAAACTATGTTGAAACGAGAACATATTCGTAATAACTTGAATCTATGATATGCTATTTCTGAGTTACAAAAATAAATATATCTGTTTTGAGTACTCGAGCATCGTTTCTTTCGTATGATGACTGATTGGAATTGTTTTTGCTCGCAAGTTCAGGCTTTCCAGACAGACATTCTTTTTTAATTCAAACTCTAATGACAATCTAGTTTTAATTCGATTTACTTATCAACAAAGTTTTAAATGAAATCTTCTTTAATTTAAATATTTTCAAAGAACTTTGTTACGAGGAAAAAATTCATAGAATAAAACCATAACTCAGAAGCAATACACTATGAGTCCAAGTCAGAGGCGGCGGAGCCTATGAAGCTTGGGTAGGCTCAACATGACTACGTGATATTCGAACAACTAGCAAATTTTGCTTCCTATTCAAATATTACGTGGACAAAACTGTTAAATCAGTCCCCATAGCTCCGCCGCCTCTGGTCCAAGTTATAATAGAAATTTTCTGATTTCTATGTTACCTACCTATTTATGCTACAAGTATTGACTAAAACATGATGAATCATTTCGAACGATCTTCTGAAGAGAACAAATAAAATTTTAATCTTTCGAGCTCAGGATTACCAACGTCTAGATTGTTTCATTTATTCTTTATAAAATCTAGATCTAGTTTTCGTTCTGACTAATGACAATAAAAACTCACTAAGTTCTATCAATTATAAGATTATTCATGTACTCTAATAATTAATCTATAACTAAATTAAAACAACTATTAGAAGCTCATTATTAATTTTTTAGAATCGGAAAAAAAAAGACGAAAGTAAATGTAAAATTAAAATGAATAATTTTTAATATCGCTAATCACAGTTTCAAAATGACTAAGTTTTGAAAGATTCGACAGTAGTTTGTTGAAGAACATATAAAATGCATACTCAATTGATATCATCATGTAATTTTTAGACTTGCCAAATTCTATGAATATATCGTCAATTCAGTCTTCCATTCCATGTTTAACAACTATTTCATTTGATACATTTTCACTTGCTATAAAACATTTGAATGAATTTATTAATTTTTTATCGCCATATACCTCAGATATGTCCATTAAATATGATCAAATAATATCAATTGTTTCGAATTGTTCTGATCTTGTTAATTGTATAAATACTTATCAATATTTATTTATTGAGTATGCAATTGATGATTATTTTTATCTCGACGAACATTTTGATTTAATCTATCAAAATGTTCTTAAAATACTTAATTATCTTCATAGTTTATCAACAATTAATTCAGATATATATAATTTTGAAAAAGAACTTCTGTGTTATCTTCCATCAACTTATTTAAATCATATTTCATCATCATTATCAAATCAAATTGCATCATCACTTATTGATCAAACTTCACAATTATTGTTATCATCATATAATTCATTATTAAATAATCATAATGAAGATAATAATGATTGTATTATATCATCGAGTTTTCTTTTTAGTACTTCACCTATAAGAATAAATATTGATAATTATAATGCACCAAAAAAACATAATGATAAGAATCATTATTCAGGATCACTATTACAATTAGATAAAATAAATATACATACAACAATGTTAACACATTCTCAATTAACATCCTCGTTACAATTTGATTTTAATGATTTTGAACAAATTGAAAATGATTTAAGTAAGAATTTCATTTTTATTAAAAAAAATATTTATTTAAAAAAAAATAAAAGAAAAAGAAAATTTAGATAATACATATGATTGGATAAATATTGAACGAGAATTTTTTACGAATATTATTTCAATATGGTCGAATAAACACTCAGCTATGCATACAATCAATCCATGGTCAAGTGAAACATTTTGGATATTAATTATGCATTTTAAATGTTCGGATATGAATTTAAAATATGAATTTATTTTAATTGTACAATGGTGTTTGTGCTTATTAACAATTCAAGCTTTTAATCGAGATTGGGATTCATGTAAGTTATATATTAATTCAGAGAATGATGTCATTCATTAGATTATAGTGTGTATATTTCCTTGTAAGGAAAATTCTTCATAATATTAATAAAAGAATTAGCAACTAACGATATTTTGAGCGGTGGGAATAGGGTTGACCCTCTTCCAATGCTTAACTCTGAAATGCCCACCTTCCGGACTACCACTTTGTAACCACCTGGGGTCCGTACGGACTCGACTCGAGTCACTCGAGTCTGATAAAATAGAAACAGTATACTACATTACCATTGTTTTGTAATAGACCTATAATAGCTCTGAAGGAGACTTATGTCTAAGAACAACAAACAGAACAGCAGTTAATTTGAATGGTATTTATTCAATCTTATTTACGTTGTTCTCGTCCCTAGCATGATTTCTTTTTTCTTAGAACTGAAATTTCGGCAATATGCAATGTAGCTGGAAACTAATTGTTCCTGAAGTGTAACGCTCTATTTTTACAGCATCGGTCTGATTGATTGTTGTTACCAGTGTACTCTACTAGGTGTTCCTAAAGTGTCCATGAAAGGACAAGATCCTATCTAAGGCTACAATTACAAAACATTAAAAAGAATTTCACTGAGGTCCGGGTGTACCCGAGGTGGGCATCAGGGGTTCACATGTGCTTCGAGATAGTTTATTACGTAACCAACTAGTTATGACGAACAGCTAACGTCAGCGGCATATAGTACAAATCTTCACTAGAGCATATCTAGAGAGGCGAGATTTGGTCTGACGTTGTGTGTGAATAACACTTAAATGAAATTAGTTGTGGTCCAGGCGGACCACAGGTGGACGTATCAGGGGTAAAAGATATTGCTTTTTTTCCCCGCATTTTATTGTTGTTTTTTTGGCTCACCCAAACCTTTATAATATGTCCAACCCTTTCTATTAAATCTGGTCAATGGTAGCAAAAAATTTTCTAATCGACCTCTTCAGTAATCAACTCATTCCTGTCCGTCATGCAGTTCTTTTTTTATTCAACACATACTCATCAACTCTCTTATAGTGAATGAAAACAAAAGAAGTCTACCTTTGAATATTTCTTGAATTTGATTACTGAATTCTAATCATTTCTGCTGTTATCTCGTAATACATAAAGAGATATTGGTGTATTTCATCGAAACTCTAATGAATAGTTTTACTATACAAAAGTGATCTTTCGCTTTTCTTTTTGTTTTCTTTTTAGTCTTTAGTAAAACTCTAATTAATACAATTATCACTAATCGTTGGGCAACAATTGGTTTGCCGAACAATGTTCATTTAAGTATTGTTGGTCATAATCTTAATCAGATGTTTCTTCGTCTTATACGAATTACATCAGTTTTACAATATATGAAAATACTTTCTGAGCAATCATCATACTTAACCGTACGAACAATAATAAATGATTATGAAATTTGAAAATTGTAACTCTATTTTATTTAGTCTTTTCTCACAAATATAATTTCTTCCAATATAAATCATTTAACGAAACAAATCGAAGGAACATTCCAATTATTAATTATGTGGCTGCATCAACATGCAGATACATTTATTAATGGAAATTCACTTGAACGAACATTAGTCATTTGTAAAAGTGATCAAATAGTTTGTATTAAGTTTTTTTTTTGTTTTTATTTTAATTTTAAACTATTTTGTTTTTATTTAGCAATTATCAACAACTATTAATAGTTTAATAGATACTCTAAGACAATTAGAAAATTGTGAACAAGCAATAAATTTAGTTAATAAATTACATTCATCCTGTGAAGTATGTTAAAGTAACAAAAATGAAATTTTATTTAGTTTCTTTTTTCAATAGATAATTGTAAATGACACAATGTCAAAATTATGTCGACGTATTAAAATGAATGCAACAAATCATTTTGATATAATATTACCACCAACAACAAATGAATTACGAACAAGTAAAAATTTTATTAAAAATAAATTGTAAATTTAAAACAATAAACAAGTTTCTTTTTTTTTCTTTTAGCTAATCAACAAAGATTATATATGATAATTGCATGTGATAAAATTCTTAAACCAATTTTAAGTCAATGTGAATGTTTAAATATTGAGAAAAAATATTATATATATGAACAAATATTTTCATCATTTGTTGAAGGATGGACATCGATAATACGTGAAAGAAAATATCATTTTTCGTAAAAATCTTTTTTTTTTATTATCTGCAAAAATATATTTTATTTCATTTTCTTTTTTAAGTGATGAGATGATAGATTTTCTACAACGAGATTATGAATATTTACAAACATTCCTTTCAACGAATATATCTGATGACGATATTATTCAATTATTGAATAAATCATCTTCTATTCAAGAAATTTCAACGATTATTGGTCTTTTAAAAAATGGAGAAAAAAATGGCTCAAATACATCACGTATGAGAAAGAATTTTTTTAAAATTTTTATTGAGTTTTCATTTAAAAAAATCTTTGTTATGTTACATTCTTTTTGCTTCAAAATTATACTCAAAAAAAAACAAGAAAAAAAAGAAAATCTTGTTAGAGCAGTGAATTATGACATAGACTAGAAGACAAATAATTTTCAATATTATCATAATGAAACTAGATCAATTATTCATGTATAAATTTTCTTTTCGTTTTAGACGAACTCAAAGTTTGTTTAGAAATTTCATTTCTATTTCATCAAAATATTAATTTTAATTCTTCATATTATCAATTTAAGTTAGATATTAAAACTTTTCATAAACACAGTATTACGTTTGAGATATCAATCTATTCTTGACAATTCATTGCCATTAAATTCATTAAAAAAAAAATTGTTAAGACTATTTGGCATAGAGCATGCTAATTTATCTCTCATATGCATCATTTGCTTTTAATGATAGCCATCGATTATATCAATGTAAAATATGATTTTACACTTTCTATTTTTGTCATAGTTGATTTCATTAATAGATAATATTAGTTATAATACTAGTTAAATAGTTTATTAAGATATGTCACTTTGTTTTTTAGACGATACAAAAGTTGGTGTTAAGTACATCATTGTATCAAAAACGCAATTAATAATAGCTTAATAGATAGATGTCACTATTTGTTTATGAGCGACTTGAAAAACTATATAGCATTCTATACTCTATAATAATTTATTGAGCATAATCTCAATTGAAAAATGATCTGACACTGAAAAGAAATAAGCCTTTTCTGCAATATAAATTCACATTTTCGATAAATCATGGAAAGCATTAAGTTCTAACATTTGTTCATCTGACCCACTACTATAGAAAGGGCAACCGGTTCATTATTAACCTTGTATAAATACGATTTGAAAAACAAAATGATCCAATACATTAATATCAAGTAGACTTTTATCATTAAAAATATAGATATATATATATATGCCTTTTTTTTGTGATAAATTAATTAATTAAATTCTATCTTTTAGTTTCTAATATTCCAAATCATGACAAATGGTTTCGTTCCAGAGAATCATGTTCACGATTTTTACAATTTCTTCAGTATGCATGTTGTTGTCAACGACGTAATCGTGTTACGACAGGTTATTGATAGAACAGTTGTTCTTCGTTTCTGAATATATATTATATATATTTTTTAAAATTCTATTCGTATTATGTCAGGTTAACGTGATTTGTTTTTCTGTTCCTTTTTTTTTTTAATTTTTTTGATTTCGGTTTTTAGCTGTGATATATTTGTTTTCAATAATAAAAAAAATATATATTTTGTAAAATACGTGCAACCACATGATCAACGATAATGACAGAGAAAAACACAACAAAAAAAAACTTGAGAAAATTTTTAAACAGATTCAAATTCTTTCTGCCATTCTGTATATTTATCTTTAAAAGCACGTGCTGATGGTTTTGTAGTTGATAGAACTTTTTCAACATCAGCTGTTGTTATGGAATCAAGGTGAATACATTGTCCTAATTCTAAATCTAAAAAAAAAAAAATTTATTTTATATATAAACTTCATTTTCTTATCATTTAAATATTTTATTTTATTTTACCATCACGAAGATTTTCTAGTATATCAAATACTTTTCGTACTGGATTCATTGCTGCTTCCTTACATACTAATTTAATATCTGCGCCCGAATAACCCTCTGTGCACTAGAATATGCAAAAAGTATTCTAAAAAGCATAAAGAACGAATGAAAGAAAACTAACATTGCCCAATCGAGTATAATCAAGATCAGAAAATAATACTAGACCATTATTCTCTCGAATAACGGTTGGCGGTAAAAATTGTTGAAACATAGCTTGACGAGCTTCTTTTGTAGGTAAATCAACTAAAACACGTTTTTCTAAACGTCTTAACATAGCATGATCAAGTTCCCTAGAGAATCAAATTATTTGATTTGATTAATTTATAAAGAAAAATATTTTATTTATACCAAGGTAAATTTGATGCAGCAAGAAGAAAAACAAGATCATCAGATTTCGCTAAACCATCAAGTTGAACAAGTAGTTCAGTTTTCATTCTTCGACTACCTTCATGTTCACTGAAGTAAAGAATAAAACATAATTAATTTATTTGAATGATTTAATTATTGAATATAATCATTCAAGCAGAACGAAATGCCTTTTTTTTTTGTCTTTTTTATTGTTTTCTTTTCACTTACGATCCAGCATTACCACCTCCACGTTGACTCATTATTGCATCAAGTTCATCCAAAAATATTGTCGATGGTGCATGAAATCGTGCTAATTCAAATAGAACACGTACTAATTTTTCGGAATCACCACGCCATTTACTAACAATTGTTGATGCTGATATATTAAAAAATGTTGTTTTACATTCAGTTGCTACGGCTTTAGCTAGTAACGTTTTTCCAGTACCCGGTGGACCATATAAAAGTAAGGCTTTCCATGGTGATAAGATTCCAGTAAATAATTGAGGATACTAATTAAAACAACAAGAAAGCAAAGCAAATAATTTTCTTCTTTTTTTTGTTTTTTCTTTTTTTGTCACTCATACTCGTATAGGATAAACAACAGCTTCTTTAATTGTACGTTTAGCAGCATCAAGTCCTATAATTGAATCCCAGCGTACACTTGGATCATGAAGATAGATGTCCTAAAATATTTTTTTTTTATGGTTCCTGATTATTTTTATCTTTGAAGAAATAAAAAGAATTCTCATGAGAGTTATAATTTGCAGAAAAACTTGCGTTCATATCTTGCACAATTAACTCGATGACAGAAGTCTATTTATTACATCCAATAGAATCGTTTTTCCGGAAATCTTTTTTGACAGTTCAAGGTTTTTTTATATAATACATATGCTTTTGATAAGCTGTTTCTTGTCAAATTTTTTAGTATCATTAATTTTTTTTTGCCATGTCAAATTTTCTTTTAAAATATTAAATCGGATATGAAAATGTGCATAGAAAGAAAAATTTTAATAATTGATATGACCAAAAAAAATATAAACGATGAACAGAAGTCAATCAATTGATCCAAAAAAAACATTTAAATAGACTTCAAACATTACGCTTTACATCTTATTAAGACACAACTATAGTTTGATTCGTCTATTGCATTCAGAATCTTCTACGCAGTTCATTGTCTTGATTCTCTGACATTTATTTCCGCATAGTTCATTTCTGACCTTAGCATTTGTATTCTTCTTCTCATCTTCTTTTTTTTTTCTTCTTGTTTTGTTTCTTTATATAGATTCTCTTGAGATGCGAACAAAACAGAAAGAGAGAAAGAAGGGAAAAAAAAAAACTTGCTTGCAAAGCTCAAGAGAGAACATTCTTATTTAATTCAATAATTATTCTATATTCTCTTTTGTGTTTTTTGACTTGTCATCTATATAATTTTCTTTTCTCATGCATACTAAACAATATAACGATAAAAATAGATCAAATCTAGCGTCATCCTTCGATGCACGCATATAAATGACATGAAAAAAAAAAACCGAAGTAAAAGAAGACGAAGAAGCAGAAAAATTTTTGCCTTAAGGTGCAAACAACTGCTGGCAAAAAAATAATAGAAAGAAATGCATCTCCATTTTCATTCTCTCATCATCCACGAACGCAGCAGGTGAGAAAAGAAAAGAAGAAAAAAAAAGAGAACTGACAAATACGCGATCGTCCGGTGGGATGTAAAGAGAGGGCAAAGAAGTAGAAGAAGAGAAAAAAAATAACCAAACGAGAGAGAAAAAGAGAAAGAGAGAAAAAAAAATAGACTTCGTCCAAATAAGATTCACATTCATTTATTCTGTTCTCTATTTCTTTTCTTCTCCCGTCCGTCGAAAACGCTCACATTACATCGAACTCGACGCGGCATGTTTGCCCACTAGTTATCTTCTTCTTTTACTTTTAACGAAAGCAACAGCAGACGCGGCCAGAATTAAGCATCAGAAAAAAAAAAGGAGAAAAAAGAAAAAAAAGAAGAAAAAAAAAACAGAAAGAACAGAAGTAAGCAACAAGCATGGAATAGAGCTGACGAGATTTTTTTCATCATTCCTGTCAAGACATATGTATATCGATCAATTTCTTAGCATTTGTCAGATTAGAATAAAGAGAATTATCTAAGAAAAAACTGTTAATTAAAAAATGAATAAATAAGAAAAACAGAAAAATGAAAGAAAATTACATAAAATAATTTTTATTTTTATGTTTTAGTTATTTTAAATAATGACAAGCAAACGTGATGTATTTGTTAAAACAATAGCAACACGTCGTAGTGTCTATTCACAAGATCGTCTCGAACAAATTTTAAGTGAATCAATACAAGCCAAAGAAAAAGAACCAGGTGATCGTACAGCTAAAGATTATCGCCGTATAAAACGTTTTGATATCGTTGATGTACAAGGAAAACAGCGACTTGTTGCTGCACGTACAGATAATGATGATAAAGAAATACGATTTTTTGTATCAATTGAAGAAATGTATGATATTATTGATTATACACATAAAAAAATGAATCATGGTGGACGTGATCGTTTATGGCCAATATTATCAAAACAATATGCCAATATTCCACGTGAAGTTATACAAACATATTTAAAAATGTGTGATTATTGTTGTAAAAGACGTAAACGTATTAATACAGATACTACAAATGAAAATGGTACAACTAATTTACATAATGATACAAATCATTTAATGGATACAAGTTTAACGAATATTATACATGATATTCCTACATTACAACAAACAAATATAATTAAACATGAACAACAACAAATAGCAACATCATCATCACCAATTGTTTTACATAATCATAGTAATAATGCTAGTCTTCATCAACAACAACCAATTGAGAATATATTCGATGGAAGTATGTAAAAAAAGAAGAAGAAATCTTTCTCTTTCTAAAATTAGCTCTTATGTCTTTAAACTTTATTCTAGGAAAATATTTCTGTTTTTATCTCGAATAATTGAACTATCCATTTGATGTTTTTTGAAAAAGCAAATTTTTTTTGATTCTTAGTCTCTTTATGATAAAAATCTTTTGTTCGTGTTGAAAATCTAAAAGAACTTCCGAAAGAAAAAAGAAAAATCTCATTTCCTTTGTCTAGTTGACGTTCGTATAGACTAATAATAACCTTGATTATAACATTCCTATTTATTTTACTTTAGCAAATACACATGTAATGAATCGTTTATGTGAATATGATTTAATTGATTTACAAAATGCTCATGATGGTGACCATGGTTTTGTTCTTGTCTATCAAGATTATCTAACAAAATTTACTCAATTACGACCATTAAAAAGTAAATCACCGGTTGAATTAGGTACAACATTAATGGATATTTTTTGCATATTTGGTCCACCACTTGTATTACAATCCAGTGCTGATCTTCATGTTGAAAATTCTGCTATACAACAAACACTCGAAGCTGTTTGGCCCGGTAAATATTAAATAACAAAATTCTTTTTTTTTTATAGTTATTTTCAATTTTTTTTAAGGTATACGGCTTTATCAAGATGATTCATCTCAATGGCGTGAAACAGCAAAACTACGTAATGAACAAATACGTTCAATGATAGCAGCATGGATGTTTGTTAATAATAATCCACGTTGGTCATATGGTTTAAAATTTGTTCAATTAACATTAAATTCGAATATAAATAATGAATTAAAACGATCACCTTATGAAGCATTATTTAAAATGTTACCAGTTTTACGACCAGCAACAGTGACATTATCGTCATCAACAACAGATACATCATTACAACAACAACAACAACAGCAACATCATCATCATTCCCAATTACTTCATCCAACAGCAGCAGTTGTACCACCATCATCACATTCCCCATCGGGTAGTGCTAATGATGGTGATTTTGTTACACCGAATGTGAATATTCTTCCTTCAACAATTTCTTCATCAGAACGAATTAAAGCGGAAATGTAAAATGCGTAAAAGACAATCTCTTTGTACAAAACACAAAAAACACTAAAACCAAAACAAAAATTTTTCTTTTTTTCTTTTTTTTTTGTTGTTGATGTTCTTTTCTTTGTTGTTATTTTTCTTTTTTTTTTTCTTGCTGTCTCAAGGAGTCTCTCACTCTCTATCTCTATATGTCGAACTTGATATGAAGAATGATGACGATGATGAGAAACTAAAAACATAAAAAAAAACCTCAAAAAAGTCGAAAGAATTTTTTTTATCCATCAAAAGAAACCTGTCTTGTTTTCTCTTCCATATGAAAAAAAAATTTTCTTTTTTTGCTCTTTATATATTTTTTTCTCCTTGAACCTAACCAAAAAAAAGATTTCATTTCTTGCGTAATCTCTATTTCGTTTTTGTTCTTTCGTTTTCGTTTTTTATACGCAGTGGTGTTTCACTTTCTTTTTCCATCTGGTCAGGTGTTTTGTGTGTGTATGTACAACTTTACCGTTTTTTCTCTTTTTTTTTTTTCTTTTGTTTGTTATATTATTTTTTTTTCGTTTCGTGCTTGTAATCATACTAGAGGAAACTAAAAGTGATGAGAAATATGTCTACTTTGACGAAGAGTACGAGAGAAATGTGATGAAATATAAGACAAAAAGATGGAAAAGAAAGTTTTAAAAAAAAATAAAAAAAAGTAAACTAAAATAAAAATAAAAGTTTTGTTATTCTGTATTTACCCGACTAACAACTTCAGCTAATTCACGCCATTCAGAATTGTAACCAATAAAACCACCTAGAGGTTTTAATAAACGGTCCTAAATTATAAAACATAAACCATGAAGAATGATCGAAAGAATAATTTTATTTACAGCTGGATCAACATTTTCTTCGATAGGCACACGTAGTGTTTCATTTATGATCGCCCGACAATCGATTATGGTATTAGGAAACTAAAAATGAAGAGAATGACTATTTAGAAAAATTGTTGTTGTGGTGAAATTAAGACTAAAAAAAAGAGAGTTTATAGTGCTAAACTATGAATCAATTTAAGTTTGAATCGGGAACACAAGTTCGAGGAAAACAGTATGAGTATTTTGAGTAACCTCTTATTGAATGTAATAAACATTGAAAAATAAATTCTGATCTTTTTTTTGAATCTTTTATCAAATAATGTATTTGAAAGAATAATAGTACCAATTGTGATTCATTTTAGATTTTATATAAATTGATATTTCGGTCTTTTTTAATGTTTAAGATTATTATTTTTTAATAGGCCATAATTAAAAAGTGGTGCTTTAAAACACTTTGTTCATTATGTTGACTATTCTTTGTTTTCTTAAGCACATAAATAGATTTATTTATTATTTTTAAAGATCACTTGGAATTTTATATATGTCACGAATAATATGTAGCATTAGATAAGTACAGTTAATAGTTTTCACTTTTTTTCATTTTGAAAAACAATATATTTCTAAAACTTATCCAAAGAAAAAAAGAATGTTCGCAAAAGTGCATTTTAATAAATATCATAATCATTGTTCATAGAAGTGTTTATAAAACATGTTTTACATGAGAGAAAAATCAATTAGATATTATCCATTTTTATGAAATAACTCAATCGTAAAAAGATCCTTCAACACTTTTAATTTTTATCGTTATTACGAGTGAGAAGATTTTTTTCACAAGTAAGCAATAATTATTAACTTCTATAATAGAGAAGTGAGGAAGTACTCATTTTCAGTTAGATTTCCGGAGTATAGAATAGATATGGACGCATTGAACATTAATTTTTTTCAAGTCATCTAATGTTGTAAACTAAACTAAGATAAATTATATTGAAAATTTATATTTTACTTTTTTCTTATTTCCATTTTGTTGTTGCTGCTGTTGTTGTTGCTGTTGTTGTTCATTCGATGATGTTGTTGTTTTTACAGATGATACTTTCATAAAAGAAAGACTCATTTCTTCTAATGAATTAGTTGAATGATTATTATTTGTGTTTCCTAATTGTTGCTAAAAGTGAAAAGAAAAACTTATCAAAATCAATATATTTCTTTTCTTAAATATATTAACGCACTGAAGAAGTTTGTTGTAAACCTGATGATGGTGATAAATGTGCATTTATTTTCTCTGAATTTGATCGATTAAGTTTACGAGTAAAAGTTATTTTTCGAAGTGCATCACCAGCAGATGGTGGACGAGTACTTTGACCAACAGAAGTTGTTGTTGTTGTAGCATCGGTTCCATTATTAGTAACACGTGGTAATGATGGAACATTACTACGACGAGCACTCGGTTGAGCACTAATTAAAAAGAAATTTTTTAGTTGAAAAAAAAATATTTTCATAAATTACCTGGTTAATTTAGTAGAGATTTTACTCGCAAATGGAGCTAAAGAAAACAAGAATGAAGCATATCTTTTTGTACATGTTAATCAGAAATGAATACAATACAAGCAGGACAATCTTTTGAATGTTTAATTCCGCCAAAAAATATTTTGTTTATACATATCAAATATTCAGACATCTTCCGACATATTTATTCTGGTTTTCTTTAATATAGCAGTAAACTATAGAGTTATTCAAAATTTTCGACTTTTCTTAGTAAATGAATGTTATATATGATAAACATATATGTATAGATATATAATTGATCGAAATAAAGAATTTTGCAGAGAAAGATTAGAGCTATTATCCGAAAAAAATACTTCGAAATGTATAGATGTAATACGATGCTATAGTCAAATGATATTCGGCATATTTGCTGATTATTATTGTGATTTTATAAAACTATTCATATTCTTAAAGTTTTTCGCATTGGTAGTTTTATTTTATGAAGTGTAGTGTTCGAACTTTGTCGATTGATATGCCAACAACTATTGGGATTCATTTCTCTGACAGTTTGTACAGTTTTCTTTAAAAACAACTCAGTGTTCATTCCAAAAATGAATGGGTGATATATGGATAGTAGACACGTCATGGATAACGATCAACGGAACCAATCATCTTTGGTCTCACAATGAAACCTTTTATACTGATCATCAAGAAGACTTACCATATTCGAGTCAAATGAAAGCTCTCACTGCCAACCTAACAAATTTAAAATATTACGTGTCAATAGCGTACCTAGAGCAAGTTACTTAAGTTTCAGTGTTCGTGAAATTTATGTGCAAAAATGAGTGAGGAAAGACTTTCTCCACTATTGTCAGGACAAAACATAGTGTTGTTTGGACCGGTTAGGGAGTTTGGAGGACTCTTCTTTTATATGGCCCGAGCAACAATATGGTTTGTCCTGACAATAGTAGAGTCAACTTTTTCTTATTGATTTTTATACCTAAATTTCATATATCTTGAAATTTAAGTAACTTCCTCTAAGTACGCTATGGGCACGTAATACTTTAAATTGGTTAGTTTGGCGGTGAGAGCTTTCATTTGACCCGAATATGGTCAATTTTCTTGATGATCAGCACAAAAGGTTCGATTGTCTGTCTCGGTCAGAAAAAAAATTTGATTCTGGTTTCGCATTTAGTAAAACATGTACTAGCAAAAAATTCGGTATCGTTTTGTAGCAATGCTAACGCACTCGAAACAGATCGTTACTCAATAATTTTTGCATAAACTTTTAGAACATATGAGGCGTTAGAATATGACATTTGACACAAGTCTTACACAACCATAAAAGATATCATTTCCGATGAAAAAGTGTTGGTTCTAATCTTGCTTGAAAAGAAGTTGATTCCGGTCTCAATATCTGTCGGAGCCACGACCATCTTGCCCATATTTACTGTAGGAGCATCATTCAACAAGCTTCAAGTAAATATCATTTAGATGTTTTAATGAAAACATTCTTTCTTTTTTAATTTTTCTGAACAAATGTTACATGAAAATATTTACTAGAGGCTAGTAATATAAACATAACATTTGAATACACTAATGCATTTTGAAGTATCTTTTTGCTCAGATGATAGTTCTAGTTTTTGCCTGCAAAACTATACATTTCCTTCAATTATATATATATATAAGTTTGTCTTAGATATCATCAATTTACTGAGAAGAGTTGAAACTTTTGAAACATTCTATAGTTATATTCTTCAATGGTAATTGATTTAAAATCAATATAAAGAAATCTTGTTTATGAAGTATCTTGGGATTAATATGGAGTTATTTTTCAAATGTAACTTATTCCACTTTCTAAAGTTCTATTCCGATGTCCGGAGAGATTGTTGATGTTAATTGAATCATTCAACTAAATCAAATATCATAGCAACTCGTAGACCTATATCTTGTATCATCAATGATTATTTTCCATTTTTTGTTTCTCGATTTCTTCTAAGATCTATTTCAATATCGAAGCTATCTAAGTTAAATAGATCAATTACTCTATATAAAACAAATGAGACTATAGAATAACATGATGATAATATACTCTTCTGATGTTAACGTGGTTTCGTTTACAAATAAATAACAAAAGAATTCTTTTTTTTCTTCTAGCAATAGTTGCTCACACATGCCTCGAAGCGATTCAGTAATAATGCCATTTAAATTTTGTTATTCACAAAACAACTTATTCGTTTCGGTTCGTCTACCAAACAAATTGAATTCACTTACCTGTGGGGCCATTTTTTTTTGTCAATTTTGGATATTTGTTAAATTTAATAAAAAAATAAGACCTAATTAAAAACAAGAAAAAAAAGCAAATTAAATAAGAAAATAGAAATCCCATCTTTTCTTTTGAAAAACTAACTCATATTCTTGAAGAATTGTATCAAGATCAATATTATCACAAACATCATATTTACTAACATCAAGATTTGTTTCATGTTCGAGTTGTCGAGCAGATTCAACATACCTAAAATTAATAAAAATTTGATTGAATGATTCAATAGAACAATAAACAAATGTACCCTTCTTCAGCAAGCCATTGAAGTACAAGGATAATTAAATTTTTTTTTCGATTTTCGACTCTTAAATCATCCTGAATGAAAAAAAAAAGAACACGCAATAAGATCGTTTGTTTTTCTTGGATAAAAATACAATGAAAGTCTTACTGCTTCACGAGCCGCATGAGAAGTTCGAATTGTTTGATAATTAAGTGTTGCTTCAGCCATAAAAAACGACTTCGTGCGGTTACATCGAAAATATAAATCAACAGCTGATGTAGATATATATTAGTCCATGAAAGGTAAACTATAGTTAATCGTTACTAAGTAACCGACATTTTCAAGGCTTTACTTCAAATAGATGTCATTGTATAGATTCATTAGGTGAAATATGGATTTCATTGGAATAAATTCATTTCATTTGTTCTTTGATTATAATTCGAATCGGCAACCATGCGTGGTGATTTAACTGTAAGAGATAAAAATAAAATTTAGTTATAAATCAAGTTTTTTTTTTTGATTTTATTAGACGGCACTTAATCCAATTCCTCTTTATCAACAAGGTGGTGGAGAAGAAAAAGCTGAAGTTGCTCGATTAGTAAGTTGTAAATCAATTTTGAATATACCATTTAATTAATTACGAATTTTTAGTCAGCATTTGCTGGAGCTTTGGCTATTGGTGATCTAGTCAAAAGTACACTTGGTCCTAAAGGAATGGTAAATAAAACGAATGTATTTTTACTAGAAAAAAAAAAGAATTAATATTTTCTTTAGGATAAAATTCTTCAATGTAATATGAGTGGTGGACCTGATGCTGGTAAATTATTAGTAACAAATGATGGAGCAACAATTCTATCAAAAATTAATATTGATAATCCAGTAGCAAAAGTTCTTGTTGGTATGTTATGATATTTGTGAAAATGATTTATTAATAATATTGTTGTAGATATTTCAAAAGTTCAAGATGATGAAGTGGGTGATGGTACAACATCGGTTGTTGTTTTAGCTAGTGAACTTCTTCGAGTATGTTTTTTTTTCTCGTTACTTTATATTATTGTGAAACACAATCTAAAAGGAGTCTCCAAATAAATCAGGTAGAAACTTGCAGTCCTTTTCAGTGTGCATTTTTCACATGACGGGTGAACATCTGGCTTTCTTGCCTAGAAACAGACTTTTTTGCTTAGAAATGAGTGGATATGACGCAGAAAAGCATTTAAAAAACATTTTTTTTGGAGAAATCAATTTTTTTGACGAAAAATTACCTGAGGAAATCGCCATGTCCTCGTCTTTTCTCGAGAAAATTTTTTTTGTTCAAAATTTTTTATGCTAGATATTGCTCGACGAAGTTTAATGTGCTAATTTCGAATATACTATTTTTGTCGATTAAAAATTTTCTTAAGTCATAAAAAAGTGAAAATATCTAAGAAATCAAAGTTCTGGGAAAATTTACGGCACTCAGAAAGGTTTGTGCTAATAGAGATTAAAAATTGTAGATCGAAAAACATTATGGCAAACTTTGAAGGTTGGATATTAGTGAATTGCTGAGTTCATGGGACAAGCGTTCCGAACAACAGTAGAAAAAAAGCATTATTTTTCTTCCAGAAGTTGAACGTGCAAATTAAAACATATTTCTTTTACCATTTGTATAGAGCTCAGTATTGAGATTCAGAAAATGCATTTGATTTGTCTATCGAACAGTTTTTCGAGGTGCATTTTTCTATATTTATAATCTTTAAAAAGCCTGATTTCCATTTTTTAGTCAAATGTCCGTCTAGATGCACACTGTGCTCCTACAGACCGTTCCAGATGTTGCTGATATAGGATCACAGACAGTATATGAATAAAGGCTCGTTACATTATATTAGCTACGTACTTATCGTATATTTGAAGGATTAAATAAAATGACAGTGAGGAAGTGTTCACTAAGGTACACAGAATAAAACTATCTTCATGTGATTTAATCTCTCAGAGATTGTGCTAACAAATATTTTATTTTTTATTTTATAATAATAGGAAACAGAAAATTTACTTGCACAAAAAATTCATCCACAAATAATTATATCTGGATGGCGTAAAGCAACAAATGAAGCAATTAGAAGATTAGAAAGCATTGCAAAAGATAATAGGTTTAATAACAAAATTGTAAGATTTATTTATTTATTTATCTCTTGTGTTTTGATTTAGTTCAAATCTGGAACAATTTAAAAATGATCTTATGAATATTGCTCGTACTACACTTAGTTCAAAAATTCTTCAAGGAAAAAAAGATCATTTTTCAAAATTGTGTGTTGAAGCTGTACTTAAATTACACGTAAATTTTTATCTATTCAGTTTAATGAAAAATTAAAATTCTATTCGTAGGGTAAAACTGATTTACAAGGTATTCAAATAATTAAACGTTTAGGAAATAATATAAGTGACTCATATCTTGAAGAAGGTAAATAATTTAAATCGAAAATAATACGAAATAGAATTTTATATTTTAAGGTTTTCTATTGGAAAAACGTATTGGTATAAACATGCCAAAACGTATAGAAAATGCACGTATACTTATTGCTAATACACAAATGGATACAGACAAAATAAAAATATTTGGTTCACGTGTACGTGTTGATTCTGTAGCTAAAGTTGCTGAATTAGAATTAGCTGAAAAAGAAAAAATGAAGGATAAAGTTGATAAAATACTTCAACACGGTTGTAATGTATTTATTAATCGGTAAGATGATGAATCAAGGATTTTGACGTTCTACAATGTTTTTTTTTGTAGACAATTGATTTATGATTATCCAGATCAATTACTTGCTGAAAAAGGTGTTATGGCTATTGAACATGCTGATTTTGAAGGTGTTGAACGTTTAGCACAAGTACTAGGTAACAGATGATAAAAATGGTTTTTTGATCGTTTTTTTTTTAATATTATAAATTGACTTATTTAGGTGGAGATATTGTTTCAACATTTGATACACCAGATAAAGTACGATTAGGAACATGTGATTTGATTGAAGAAATAATTATTGGCGAAGATAAACTTATCAAATTTTCCGGTTTGTTGTTCACAATTGAATAAGAAAGATTTCATTAATATTTACTTAATATAGGTGTAGCACAAGGTGAAGCTTGTACAATTGTATTACGTGGAGCTACACAACAAATACTTGACGAAGCTGAACGATCAATTCATGATGTTCTTTGTGTTTTATCACAAACTGTTAAAGAACCACGTATTTGTTATGGTGGAGGTTTGTTTAAAAATTTACTTTATTTAAGAACAATAGAAAATTAAGTTTTAATCAGGTGCTGCTGAAATGCTAATGGCTACTGCTGTTTCTCAATTAGCTGAAAAAACACCAGGCAAAGAATCCGTAGCTATTGAATCATTTGCTCGTGCTCTTCGTCAAGTATTTGGATAAATTTTTTTATGAGTTTTATTTTTAATCATCAATCGTCTTTTTATAGTTACCAACAATTATTGCTGACAATGCTGGTTATGATAGTTCAGAATTAGTAGCTAATCTTCGTGCTGCTCATACTTCAGGCAAATCAACATACGGTCTTGGTATGAATTTTTACATGATTTTTTTTTAATAAAATAAAAATTTTTTGTTTTATTTAGATATGGAAAATGGCAAAGTAGCTGATATGGTTCAACTTGGTATTCTTGAATCATTTCATCTTAAACGACAAGTCGTTATTAGTGCAGCAGAAGCTGCTGAAATGGTATTACGTATTGATAATATTATTCGTGCACCACCAAGACCTCGTCCACGTGATATGCGTCATCATTAAAAAATCGAAAATTAATAGAAACTTTCTTTTGAGCAATATCCACATGATTTGTTGATCTATTTTTTTCCAATATGATTTTATAGTAAACTTTGTGTTTGTTTTAATGTTGACATCTGTTACAGTGTTGAAAAGAGCTTTCGGAAAACATCTATATATGTGTGTATACTCATTATTTTATTTAACTTGTGTTAACGTTTTTCTTGTTGTTAAGAGCAAAAATATACTGAAAAGGAAATTATCTCGAAAATGTTTTTCATTATTAATCTATTTCATGAAGTTGGTCTGCACGATAATGATTAATTGTATTTAGTTATCATTATTATTATTATTAGCGAAGAAAACTATGTCCCTAACATCTATAACAACAAAAGTCATGACAAGAAATTATGAATCGGATGGATTTCATTATTTATTTAACAGCGTTTCGAGGTAGCAGCCAAGTTTTTCGTGCACTCGCTTTTTCCTGTGTAATATTGTAAAATATGGAGGAATTCAAACACAAAATTGTATCGTTTCATTTCAACAAAAACACTTCCTAATTGAATGTACTATAACGGCGTGCTTGTACCATCCTTCATGACTTATGAGGGAATAAACACAAAAATAATTTGGTCACATCAGTCGATCCTGACTGATCTCTTCTGACAGAACACAATAAAATACTGAACAAAAAATGTTTTATAGTATATCGCGGCATACTACTTCATTCACAAAGTTTATTTCATCTATGTATCATCATTGTCTTAACTTTTCTCTAATGAATATTTATTTTGAACATAAAAACTTTTAATCTATGATTATTAATTTACGTCTATGAGCAAAATTCTTTTCCTCTTCGTTTCATTCGATATTCTATTTGTTTGATTCTAAGTGAGTTTTAATCAAAAATATGTTTCATGTATTTGATTTCAATGTTTTATGTCTATCTGATTACTATACTGTAATGTACAGTACAAAGTCTATAATAACATTTTTTTCTAAGAGTAGTACAATGATTTCAAACAGCAGAAACAATAAATTTGACATCAAATTCCAGCGTGTTAGCAATAGGATTTATCCGTATTAAAAATTCTAGAATTTTACCGACAATAGGTACGAGAATAATCCTTCTTTGAGGTAAAATACAAGTTAAGTATGATATACAATGATGACTTAAATAATATCTATATTCTTTTCATCTTTTGATGAATACAATTAGTAATCAATAAGAAGACTATTAGGATTCTTCGCCACTCCATGACGTCGAGATGGACACGAGCATTTAAAAGTTTTAAAGAGCTCAGTATTTATTTCCATATTTGTCATAATACCTGAAATATATGTTTTGGGTGTTTGTTTACACAAAGAATTATGTCCGATTTCTGATAACATTCTTTTCACCTTCATTTTTAATTATTGTTCTAAAATTTTCCACTATGACATTGGATGAATTCGTAGACCAG